AGGGTGCGGGGGCCAGCGGCAGGGCCGGGACACGGCCACAGCGCAGCTGCGGCAGGGGAGCAACAGATGTGCAAAAAGGGGGTGCGCCACGGTGACAGCAGGGATATAAGGGAGTGACAGCTGCAATCCGGGGGGGTGGCAAGGATGCTAGCGCACTCCAGGGGTGTAAGGACGGGGGGACGCAGGGCGGGAGCAGCACTGACCCCCCAGGAGTCACGCGCCCCCCTGCCCCAGGCCAAGCTGGAGCAGGAGGGCTCATCCCTCCTCCGGCAGCGGGAATGCCGGCCTCACCAGCCCGCACAGACCTGCATTCCCATGGAAACACCCAGAGGTGGGAATCTGGGAGTCCTGCCAAATCTTACACCTTTTACACCTGCACCTTATTTCCTCGGCCCTCTTCCCAGCAGGTGACATTATTTGCCAGCCTCATGTCAACCTGCATTTAAAAGCTGTTTCAATATTTTTTTAAGTCAGGCCAAATCTCTTGAAATGCACCTTGAAAATATACCCAAAAGCAGGAGAAAATTTTAATTAAGCTGGAAATTAGATCAGCAAGTAAATGTGTGTGACCCAGCTCCGATGGCCGGGACACGTGCGCGTGGGGAAGGCCCATGGGCTGCTGCGGCTGCCTGCAGGGAACGGTGAGTGTCCCCGGTGTCCACGGGCAGACTTCCCTGCCATGACCTAGGCCCCACGTGCAGGTCCCGTGCACAGGTCCCACGTGCAGGGTGCACGTGCTGGTCCCCCCGCAGCACCAGCTCACTCGTGGCATGAGCTGTTAACACCTCGGCGCTCTCAGTCATCTTCCAAGAACGCCCTTAGACGCAGCCACTAGGAAGGACACGTTTCGTGAAACAGAGAAGTGGAAACTGAGCTCCTCAGCTCTGTTCACAAAGGGCAGGAATAAAATGGGGAAGCGGCAGCCGCCCCCGCACGAGCGGGTTTCCCCGGCTCGCCGCCCTGCTCAGCAAACCCTGCCGGGCCGGGCAGCCCTGGAGCCGCTCGGCAGGCGGGAGGGCACCCGGGACAGACCGGTGCAAAGGACTGGGCCGCACCGGCAGACCTTGGCGTGGAGGTTTTGGCTTTTCCCATGGCAGTGCTGGAGAAAAAGGGTGCTGGACAAGGTGGGAGAGAGCTGAAGGCCAGGACCATCACTTGGGGATGGCAACCTCACACGGGAGCCCGGCACCGGTAATAACCCTCCCTGGTTGTTCCATTTGTCCTTCCAGTGCCGGGATGGTTCAGCGGCCAGTGGGGACAAGACACCTCCGTTGTTTGCTCCGTGACTGGCAAGGTTTTGTGGCCCGGCACTGGGTATTCCCTGGTCAGCCGCAGACTCCTCGTGCTCCGGCAGCTCAGGCTGTGCTCCCCCGGCCCCGCACGGCCTCGCGCTGGCGCGCAGGGATGGCTTCCCTAGGGCCTAGCTTGAAACAAGCACGTCTGAAATGAGAGCAGACTCCAGCAGGCAAAATCCTGCAGCCATGGGAAGGGGGAGAGAGGCTGCCCTGTGAAGCACCCGTTTCTCCCAAGGGCACAGTGGTTGCTCCGGGGATCTGCAGCCAGGCTGGCTGCAGAGGAGCTTGGGTTTCACAGAGCTGCGAGCAGTGTTGCTTCACCAGATAAAGGCCTGGAGGTTATTTTCCACTGAGGGGTCATAAATCCCTGGAGTGCAAAGCCAGGTTGTTTGCAACTCCAGCAGGCGCCCGCACGCTGCTCGGGCGAGCTGAATCATTGCCCCGGTGTGACCCGGCCCATCTGCCTCCAGCGCGGCGGGACCAGCCGGCAAGGTCACAGCCCGCTGCGGTGTCACTGGCGGGACCGCGGCGCCAAGACGCTGACCAGGACAGGGACAGACACCCACGAGCATCCCCACCTCGGCGGGGCAGGGTGCCCCGAGCAGAGCGAGCCTTGAAAATCCCACGCAGCTGCCAAAATTCACCCTGCGGGGCAGGGGTGGATAACGCTTTGCAAATGCACCTCAGAAGAAGCAACGCATATATTACATGCGTTTTATTGTTAGCAGCTAAAGCTAATTAAGGCTGTTCGTATGAGGTGCAAAACTGCTTATTTGCTCCCTGCAGGGCCCTTATGCATTTCCAACCTCAAAGCCTGCACTGTTTGCCATGCGTGGAAGGCTCCTGCAGCCACGGCTGCACTTCAGCTCATCCTGTTTTCTCCTAAATGGTGGGTAAAGGGCCTCATTCAGCCAAGACACTGAAACACCACAAGGCATTTTCCCCTGTGCTGCTGCATTCTGTTTGAAAAAGCAAAGCCCGAATGCTGTGCTGGGAGGAATCGCTGCGCCGTCTTAGGGGCTTGAGTGGAGGAAGAAGTTAGAGATTAACAAGTAAAGTTGGATTATCAAATAAAGTGCTGCTGACAAAGCAAAGAGCCACTACCCTGTGCACCACAATCTTTACCCTCACCTAATCCCAGAGCATCGCATCAGGGCAGTTTTTATTGTTAGAGTAACGTTAAGAAAAGCATTAAAACACCTCCTGCATGACCTGGTCTGGCCTGCAGCACAACTTTGAACTTCAGCAATACGAAACAGCTGAAGCACTTTGTCACTCATTAACCCAAAATGCCCTGAGACAGCACCAAAACGCTCAGCCCGATGGCTGCGATAAGTCCCCAGGGAGCCCAAAGGCCACTTAATTCATCTAGAGTAACGTTAAGAAAAGCATTAAAACACCTCCTGCATGACCTGGTCTGGCCTGCAGCACAACTTTGAACTTCAGCAATACGAAACAGCTGAAGCACTTTGTCACTCATTAACCCAAAATGCCCTGAGACAGCACCAAAACGCTCAGCCCGATGGCTGCGATAAGTCCCCAGGGAGCCCAAAGGCCACTTAATTCATCTGACCCTGGCACAGGCTGCCCAGAGAGGCTGTGGAGGCTCCTTCCCTGGAGATCTCCAAGGCACCTGGATGCCGCCCTGTGCCCCTGCTCTGGGTGTCCCTGCTGGAGCAGGGGGTGGACTGGGTGATCCCTAGAGGACCCTGCCAACCTCAGCCCTTCTGGGATCCTGGGACCCAGCGCACTTGTGCCCGCCATGGGGGGCCCCTCAGCCCGGCCGTGGCTGCCAACCCGTGGGGCTCCGCGCCGCCCACCCGC